TTGGCGTCGTGTTCTTCCACAAGAAGTTCACACTGGACCTCGAGGAGGATTCAAAAAGGCCTCTCGACCTGGATGGGTCGGACCTGGCCGAGTCATCTTCACAGAACTTCTTCCTCATCAAGATTTGGACGATGAGCGTCGTCACATCGTTTGGGTTTTAATTGGCGGCAAACTTCTACGTTGCTCAGCTCACTCTGTCAGACCGGTCACACCGACAGAGAAGTTGCACTACGAGCTCAACAAGCGTGAGGATGTCACCAAGTGGAAGACTTTGACCGACATCATCCCTGAGAGAGAGTTCACCGATATCTCTGATGAGATACCAACACGTGATCAACTTGAAGAACCTCTCCTACCACCTCTACCTGATGGAACTACAGTTGTTCCTGGTCAACGAGTTTATGGCAAGAAATCTGTACCACCTGAGGATTGGAGGCAGATCCATCGATCTACGCCCCTTGGACTTCGTGGGCAGAGCTCTTCGACTTATGGTCCTGGACTTGACCGAGCCCCTGGATTTTTGGCTCCGAGCTCACCTCCACCTCAGAATTCTGGCCCTTCTTCGTCATCGAGGCCTGTTGCCTCAGCTCCGCGACCAGGTGCTGCAATTGACTTGGATGAGGATGATGCGGTGAATGACTATGGTTTTGATGATGGTGCTCGAGATGCTCCTCCTGTACCTCATCCAGATGAGACGGAAGCCAAACGTCTCAAAGCCACAACCTATGACTTGAAATGGGTTGAGCAACTTCAAGCCGATGCCAACATTGAGGCCAATGAGATGAACATCTTTTCAGCTCTTCAACAATGTGATGATGACGTCATCGAGATTTGCTTTGACCTCGAGCTCAACACCACTCGACAGCGAAAAGCCTTGGAAAGGCATCCTGTTTTGTTCCTCACCAAAAAGCTCAATGGAGCTGAAGTGAACATCCACCGCCTCACTGACTACGAGAAGTCGCTGTTCGAGCGTGCCAAGACCAAGGAGGTGACGTCATTCCTCAAGAATGAAGCTGTTCGCAAATGCCTCAATGATGGTGAAGTTCGACGTGCCTATGATTCCAACCGAATCATCAAGGCGCGATGGGTTTTGACATGGAAAAGTACACCCCCTGATGAACTTGAAGAAGCTCAACATGAAGCCCAACATGATCCTTCAACAGTCCTCACAAAAGATGGCAGCCGCAAAGCAAAGGCACGAATTGTGCTTCTTGGTTTTCAACACCCCAGTCTTTTAGACAGATCCTTCAAGACTTCAGCACCAGTCCAATCTATGATTGGTCGCAACCTCATCTACCTCCTCTCCGTGCAAGAGCAGTGGGAGATTCATGGCTTGGATCTTGCGACAGCATTTTTGCAGACGCAACCCACTGAGGCAGATGCTGAGATTTGGACTACTGGTGTTGCTGAACTTCGAGCTGCTTTGGGCATCCTGAAGGTGGATTGATGAGGGTGTTGCGCAACATCTATGGGTCAACAACAGCCCCCAGGGGACTTTGGTTGGATCTCCACAAAACTTTGGTTTCTTTGGGCGCTACGCCTATTTTGGGCGAAAGATGTTTATGGGCCTGGTTTTCCAAGACTGAGCTTGATGCCACCGGCCGTTTTCCTCGCCTACTTGGTGTGATGGGTGGCCATGTGGATGATTTCCACTGTTGCGGCAACTTTCAGTCTGAGGAGTGGCAGAAGATCTACAACCAGATCCTTTCAGCCTACAAATGGGGCACAGCAAAACGTGGCAACTACCGCCATGCTGGCACTGACCTTAAGACAGTGTTCGACAAGGCCTCCAACAAGTTCAAGCTGGTGATTGACCAAGATGCCTATGTCGAGTCAGTGGCAGATGTTGCCATACCTCCTGAACGACTTCACCAAAATGGCCCTCTTCAGAAGCAAGAGACTGCAGCTTGTCGCACAGCTCTTGGAGCACTCCAATGGCTGGCCATCCAGACACAGCCACAGTTGTGTGCGAGATGCAATTTGCTTTTGACCGAGGTTGTCACCAACGGTACTTTGGAGACAGCGCGGGAGATACAGCAGATGATTGCCGAAGTGCGCTCAGAGCCTTTCAGTTTGGAATTTTTCAAGCTCCCCAAGGCGACCAATTGGAATGACGTGGTTTTTATTTCAATGGGTGATCAGTCTCACTCCAACAGACCTCAAGGCGACTCAACTGGTGGACTTTTAACCTTAGCTGCTGGACCAGATGCCATTTCAGGCAAGGTCACTCCAATGACTTTGATTTCATGGCGTACGTGGAAGCTGAAGAGAAAAGCCATTGGCAGCAATGATGCTGAGGTGCAGTCAATCCTCGAGGCCGAGGACCAGAACTTTCGAGTTCGCATGCTATGGAGCGAGCTACATGGAGCTGGTTTCCAACGACCTGATCGACGTGCCGATCTAGTAGCTTCAGCTGAAGATCAAGCTTGCCTTGTCACCGGAATCCTTTGCACAGATTCCCGAGGTGGCTACGATGCCGTGGAGGTGAATGAATCACCGCTTCTTGGCCTCTCCAACATGAGAGCGGCATTGCAAGCGTTCCAGCTCAGAGACAATTTGAAGAGAGTTGGATGTGAACTTCGATGGCTGGCTTCTGACTATGATCTCGCCGACGCCTTCACCAAAAAGCGTGGCGATAGCAGAATTGGACTTTTGAAGTATCTGCGAAGCCGTTGCTGGAGCATAGCATATGATCCAAACTTCACTGCTGCGAAACGCAACAAGAAAGTTGGCAGAACTGCAATTCAGAAAGTAGATGATGCTTTGGGTGATTTTTCGCCGCCTTTGTCATCACATGGTGCTTTTGAAGATTTTTCTGAACATGCGTTTGCAATCATTGCTCGTGAGCTTCAGCTACACGATCTTCAGCAAGATCTCGCAATCAATGCTGGATCACTTCATGTTCATGCAATCACTGCTGGCTCTCAAACAGGTCAAATTCGAACGCCTTGTTTTGGCACCCTGAGCCCATGTGAAGATATGTGTACAGCTGCCCATGACCTGAAGCCTTTTTGTACTGGTGCAGCAACTGAAACCTGTGCCACCGCTCACTGTCAGGTCATGGAAGCAGATGGTCGCTTCACCGCGACGTGATGGCTCAGGGGCCCCTTGTTTAGGCGCCACATGTGCCATGCAGGCTGCAGCTTAGACCTTGGTGGTCTTGGAAAAATCCCAGCGCGCTGTGCGCTTTGTGCCTTCATCCATCCTACATCATTTCCTTCGTCTATTGCCTCTTGTTTGAATATCGGTTGGTGGATTGGGTGTGAGCCCAGCTGTTTAACCCCTGCGCTGCCCGCTACACATTCCCAATATATGGAAAAATAACAAATGATCCAAACCACCAACCAGTGATGCATTCGCACTCCAGAATACCTTGGCCACACTCTTGAGACCTTGAGCTTCCGAACGAGCGATACACCCAAATGTCTGCACCTCGGCAATATATCCAGAAAGACGCTCAGCTGCAAAGGTCCATTCTCTGGACCTTAAAGCTTCCATTCTCTTCATCGATCTCAATTGTAGTCCTTCTTTTCTGGGAATTTCTGATGCTTCAGCGAATCCCACACCAAGCATCCCCCGATGCAACGCTGCAACAAAATTACAATATGGGATGGGCGTGATCGAGGGTCCTAAGGCTCCTAAGGTTCATCTCAGATGGGAAAGGGCGAGGTCTCCTGCACTTCAGGTCTGGAGATAAGCAACCAATGGTTGATGTTGGGCACATCGTGGCTCCTCGTGATGTTCAAGCTATATACTTCAAGATTCCTGGGCCCATCCCGCCCATATCCATCCTAAAGGTTCATAGAATAGCTGCTTTGGAACAGGACCTTCCTAATCTTCCTATTAGTGACATTGCCATTTTGGATGTTTTTTTACGAGCCAGCCCCCACACCCCCAATCCCATTCTTTTTTGTTGACCGTGACGCGCTGGCTTCGGGCGATTCTTTCGCCAAAGACCAGCTGGTGCTCTCTATGTGGGCGCCGTCAACGTTGGACCGCGCCCAAGTTGCGGGAGAGATCTGTGCCAGTCCAAGGGTGGTACAGCCCCTGGGGGTTGCCTAGATTCATCTGGGGTTTCCAAAAAACTGGGAATACTCCCAATGGATCCAAATGGTTGTTCCAATCGGGGAAAGAATCACAAACCACCAAAAAGAATCGAAGTACCCCATTTTCAGACAAACCCATTTCTGTCTGACAGAATTTCCGGATTTTGACCTGAGCAATGGTTCAATCTTTGCACTAGCAACCATTTAGGGCACTGGAGTGATGTAGAGGGTCCCTCCCATTTTTGGTTGTATGCACTTCAGGAGGTATCAAGGGCGAGGCATTCGGTCGCAGAATGATACACATTGAATAGCCCTGGCAGCTTATACCCAGAGTTAGTCGAGGATTTTCTTTCACGTTTTGCACTAATGTATCATACTGGAGCCATCTAAACCTTCGGGTATCCCGTCTTTTTGGTTGGTTCCGTAGAGTATCCCTAGTTGGTTTTACCCTGCTTTCTCCAGATATTCCTTGAAGCCTCCAATGTCCTATTTGCCTGATTCGTCTTTCCAATTTTCACTCGCTGGTTCTCCCCAGCTGCTTGTCCTGAATGTTTCTTATGTTATCAAGAAATCCACCAGCTGGCTATACCCAATTGCAATTACATATTCATGTTTCAAATAGTCAAATTGGTTGGTTGGGATACTTAGCCAACTGGTTATCCCTATGTTCTTTCGAACGATAGATGAGTATCCCCCAATCTCATCAAATAGTTCCATTTAGCTATATGAATGAGGATTGATATCCTCACTATGAAACAAATAATAACCGTTAATCATAGTATCCCCAATTAAATCATTAATCGACAATAATCCCATCCCCCTGAACTTTAAACACCCCCATGAAATTTTGTGGTCCCGATGTGGAAATTCCATGAAATTCCTTACATCCACCATGGTTTCCAGGTGGTGTTTAATATTAGGGGCAAGGTAATTTAATGGGAGCTCGGACTGGCGTCACCGCACCGGCACACTGGGCGGGCTCGGGCGTGGTGAACCAGGGCGGTTTAGGGCCTCCGAGTCACCGAAAAAGCGTCAGTGGTGGAAGCCTATTAAACTGACATTCATTGCTATTAAAAATGTCATTGATTTCTTAATGGATATACATTCGGTCATAATGCATATTTATGAATCCTTAATAATATTAGAATATATTAGAGGAGTTACCATCCAAAAAAAATACTAACGCTATTGATGAATTAGATGGGTTACCCTCAAAAATGTGCTACTAAACTGCAACCTCCCTTTTTTGTGAACTTGCGGTATTAATCGTTTGTTACACACTGCTGACATCAACCATCTCTGGAAAGTGTGCGGAAAGCTTTTTTTTAGTGCTGGATCCATTCATGCAATTTATCAGAAGTCCCAAAGTTTGGGTATCGTTTTAAACTCGGGGATTGGAGTATGACCAACAAAAGTGGGGAAAATATGGGAAAATCACAAATCAGACTGGGGAATCAACCAACTGCAATGGGTATGCTGAGTGTGCACGCTGAGAATTTTGGGTGCTTAGTTTATCGCATTTTACAACCAGGAGCAAAAACATGATATATAACAATGAGAGTTATATATATATATATTAAAAAAACAAACTTGACTTACTTAGCATTGTTCAAAGATACAAAAGTGAATGAAGGCAGGAGGTACGCACATGGACAACATGGAGTGCCAACTGGCAAAGACATCTATCTGACTGACTAAGGCAGTAACTGTTCTGTTCCACATGATTGCCGGAAAGATATCCACCAGCTTATGTTCCTATTGACCACCCTCCGACTTTGACCGCCTCAAACACACCTTTCCTCGCTTTGCGAACCAAAGGATGAGTGTTGCAGCTCGATGTCTTCTGCACTTAAAGGATCAGAGCACTTATTCAGTGGTAAATAACCCTGTTTGCAAAGTCCCCAAGAGCGTTGTCCCATTTACAGCTGGACTGCAACATATCGAAAATCACCATACTTACTACCAGTATTACCACTTCAAAATTGTGGTACCCAAGGTTGGCACCAAAAGCCAGGACCAAAATCTGTGAGGACCAGGGCCTGCCCAGTTCCACCGTATACTACCCCCTTGGGAGGAGATCCCCACCTGCTTTCGACTTCTCCTGAGGAAGAGGTACCCCAAGGTCTTCCAAAATGGATGGCTACAATCTGCAGGGCCTGTATGGTACGCATCAAGCTGCCAAATCCCATCACATCATGTCACATCAGTGTTCTTTTTTCCCATGGTAGAAACCATTGAAGATTGCCATTTGATGAAAACAGATCTCCCAGTTTTTTGGGACCAACCGACCAACTAAAAACCGTTTGAAAGCCAAGGCCTGCGAGGCACACCCAGTGGAGCGGAGTAAGGCCTGGTGAGTTGGATGAAGATCATCTCCGGGGAACAGCTGAACAAATTGAACAACAAAAAAATGGATGAACAGTCCAAAAGATAAACATCACATAGCCATACATAGTCAATAGTTGTTCCGAACTGAAAGACTGAACGCGTCGTTAAAAAAAATTAAAAAATCCGATGACCATTCAGAAGACTGGGAAAGATCTTGGATCAATTCAGGGGACACCAGGAAATGATTTCAAGATGGGTGGTACCTGACCACAGTCTTGGCCGATGGTGAAAGATATGGGACCAGCTGTTGGTGTCTACCTATGGCCTTGGCTGAAGACTGGAGGACTGGCTGCTGCGAAGCTGTATGGGTGAAGATATTGACATGGAGGCTGAATTTGTATCCACCCTGTGTTCCCTCCAGCATCAAACAAGCGGAGGCTGTCTCTTGTGCCCACATGATGGTTGGCTGTTCACCCCGTCTTATTCGGCTGCCCTCCCATTCTTTTGGTTGGTTGCTTCATGTTCTTTCATGATGTGCCTTGATTTCGCCACTATTGTTGATGTCATTCCCATGTTCCCAAATTTACTATGTCCGCCATTGTTCCACCAATATGTGTATATATATATATATTGATATGATATATATATATATACATAGAGAGAGAGATCATGAACATAGATACGGAAAAATTAAAAAAAAGCTGTGTGCAGATGATTTTGGGAAAACATATGGGTTTTACATGGTTTTACTAAGATTCCAGTTCTTCCCAGTGTATCCATCATTTTACCCCACACCTAGTTACATGGCTATCCGATTGTCGCGCCTTGTGGGCCTGGACAATCTGGAGGTACAGACTGACGGCACCCCGGTACGCGTCACCTCGCAGATCCACCGGAGAAATCCACCTTGGGAAATTCCTTGGGAACTCGGGTGTTGTTTATGGTGTAAACATGGATCAAATACAAGATTCATCAAGATGAAAAAATTGGGGCAGGGGTGACACTGTGAGCTCAAATTCAGCCAGCTTGTCGTCCAAGCGGGATCATTAAAAAAACGAGGAAACCACTAGTTGTTTCGAGGGGTCTCCCATTTCGAACCACCAAAAAAAACATCAGAAATTGAGGCATATACGTGGCATATACCCAAAAGAAAAAAAATATCACAGTCATCATCCGCAGTTTTTGGAGAAACCGACTTCATCGAGATAAAGATCCAAGGAGGTCTCCAACTCACATGACTCACCATGGCAATGGGTTTCCACACCCATTTTCAGTGTGCTAAATCCTGGCGATTGACCAAGTTTTGGGATACTGTCCAAACCCCAGCCTTGGAGTTTGTCTGCCTCCACGCGTCTCGAGGGCAATGCGGACTTGCAAGACCTTCAAGATGCAAACTGAAACTGCACAACTTCGGGCTGCCAACACCCCTGCTGTACATGTTTCATGGCAAAAACACTGGGGAAAAGCCATGGTTTCCTACAACAAGGGTCCAAGTACGGCTACTGCCGCCTGACAAAGCGTCGAGAAGCTCCTTGGTGGGAGACAAGTATCGCCTCACTGCGGCTGCGGAGGTCAACTGTTCATCTGTTAACTTCTGGGGAAGGTCCTATGTCCATTGGTTGAATTCATGTTTTGGAAAATTGGAAATGCCTCAAGCAAAATGATGACTTAACCAGCAAAAAATAGGATTGACTCGGTGATTTTACCAGGAAATATGTGGACTGGACCAGAATTATATAGGATTTACCTGTTATCCCTTGGACACTCTCTGCTATTGATATTTAGTATCAACCATTGTCAACCATTCTTAGCATGAAATCAACCAGTATTGACGCTGTCATCCCACTAACCATCACTTTCCCATTTGTGCCCATGTTTCTCTGAAAATTCTGGATTTAAAACCAAAATCCAATGTATCATACTGTGGATGGTTGCAAAATCCTACACCACCTTGGTTGAAACCCTATACAGTAAATAAGAACATCAACTGGGATAAACCTTCCATCGACTGGTGCAGGATCTCCATCCACCATAGGATTTCATCATCAAAAACCCACGGAATCCATGGATTTTTGGGGGATTCATCCGACTCATCCCGAGGCGCCCAAAGCTTTGCAGCGGCTCCACTTTGGTGCTCCCCGTGGGCATCCAGGGACGGAGGCATCCGGCTGCGGTGGCAGGGCGCACCGCCGCGCCTCGGGAGTCTCCCATTGAAACCTCGATTTATAGGGGATTTCTCGTTGCCTTTGATTACCTGAGGTTATCTTACTGAAAATGATTAAGCTATGGATTAAGCTATGGATTTGATAGCGAAAGTGATGATATGGTGATTAACCTGTGGATTTAAGAGTGTTCCCATAACTGTCAGACCTTGTCTGAAAAGTATGGGAAAATCCGTAACTCCACTGGTGCATGATCATTCTCATCAAATTGCAATTTTGGGCTGGTGTGCCCCATTTTCCGACACACCGAAAAACACAACCATATGGGATCATCCGATAGAAATCATATGATAAAATACAAAAGGAATCCTATGATGTTCATTGTTTGAAAGGATTGAAATCTAAGATACTGTCAAAGGGATCATATGGATGTGACATCAGATTTTGAGTTATTCATTTGGTTGCTAGTGATTGTATATGGGCCACGGTCAATATTTGGGAATATTTGGGATATAGCTCCAAGTCATCAATTTTTGAAGGTGTATTATCGGTTTTCAGGTTTTGGTACAAAGCAAATGTTATCGTTTTTTGAAGAGTGTATTATCGTTTTCCAAGCCCCAGGTCAATTTCCAAAAAATAAAGATGTCTCGAATACTACTCTCCATTAACCTAAATTTTGGCTGTAGCTCATATGCCATACATGCCAGCTTACTCTACGAGCCGTTGGTGATGGGTAACCAGCAGAAATTAGAATAACGCGGATATATGGCCCAAAGAAAACAACTCCATGATAATTCTTTGGCTGGCTTCCCAAGAACAAGCTTCAATTTCCAAAGTTTCTGTAGTAGTGGGTGAGGCATATCCAATTAGGGCATAACCAAAACGAATTCGTGCCAGATATGTGTGACCTCGCACTCTGCCACAAAATTCTGTGCCATGGCTGAAGCAAGAAATAGTGTTGCTGCGACTGCGAGGAATTGAAGTGTGGGTTAAAGTGTGACTGCTTTTGAAAAAATAAATGGACTTCCACAGGGTTCACCTGCCCCAACGTTGGCAACGAGCATCCTATTCCCTGCTCAAGTGGCACATCTCTTGGAAAACGATCAACGATCAACGATGGTTCCCGTTTGAACATGATGCCTCATAGAATCTACCAGGTACCTTTAAAAAACCCCTGTGATAACCAATCAACCATCATTTCTCAATGATATCCCCATATCATCCCATATGTGTGATTGGCTATGATTGTTAAGACCCCTATAAATGGTTGTTAAATTACACTTCCTAATTCTTGATCAATCTGATGAAGGGCACCCAGCACCCAGCAACCCCCCTTTGCGCTGCGCACAGAGCGGTTTCGCCGGCATGGGCGCGGGTGCACGCTCCGTTGCCCGGGAAACTGGCCGTAGGAGTCAGTAGAAGGTGATTCCAACCAACTCAGGGGTCACTGAAAAAACATATTGGTTGATACTGTGGATGGAAGAGATCCTGCACCAGTTCATAGGTGGTTTATCCATGTTTATATCATTAGTTTTAGGGTTTCAACCATCCAAGGCGGTGCAGGATTTCTTCCATCCACAGGATCCTAATCTTTGGTGGTTAACATCCCCATTCTTATTAGCTACAGTAATATCCCCATCTCTATTGTGTTGGCAATAGAGCTACTCAGCCACTCTGGTAATGAGGTCAAGGTGGCAAGTTTCCCATTGACTCGCATTTCAAACAGTTCATCAAGCATCTACATTGAATATGTATGAATCTGAATCTGTATCTATACTATATCAATATATATATATATATAAGATGTAATGTGGTAAACGCAATAGAATAAACCATCCCCAAGTCATCACCATCAATAAATGGCTGGGATTTCAACCATCCCTACATGGTTTTATCATCGGCACCTGGGCGCGAGACCCATTTCGGCTCCCGTGGCTCCTCGGGCAACCTGGCAATCCAGGATGCTAATATCTTTTTAAAGGAAATTATAGGCCTATAAGATTAGATAGGATTATATAGGATTATATAGGAGTATATATATATATATACATATATGTATATCATTATCGGATTATACAATAGGATTGCATAGGATTGTATAGGACTTTGTAGGTGTTGCAATATGATACCCATTTACCCAACTTCACTGCTATGCATATATAACCTACAGAGCTGCTAAGCAATGTTAGCGACCAACAAGAAAAGCTGCATGGCCAAAAGTGACACCTTACCCATCGCTTCCAATGGACATGTGAACAGGTAGCAGGCTTCCCATCCCAAAAAACACCCAAGTACATCCCAAGATGGGCAAGATCCGACATGCACCATGTAAACGGTATTTGATGTATCCCCAAATACTTAAAGAACGAGTTAGAAGTATTGTCATGTTCTTGTGAAAAAATCAAGATCGCCAGCCAAAACGTTGGATACCCGCTCTCACATGGTCAGCAAGGAAGGTAGAGGAAAAAAAACATCGAAATTTGTGTAGTAGAGATTCACTCTTCTACCTTTTATGGTGATTACTACAATGGTCAGCAATGGATCTCCGACATGCACACCTTCTGGGCGAAGCACTGGGCATAGCACCTGGTCCATGGCAGTGGAAGGTGGATCTTCGGATCTTCATGGGAATATGGCCCTTTGGCATCCTAAATATCTGAATGTGTCATAATGTGTCATAATGTGTCATAATGTGTCATAATGTGTCATAATGTGTCATAATGTGTCATAATGCGTCCTATGTTTTCATCATTTAAATGCAATGGTTTTCCCCTGAAGGGGGACACCGTGGACACGCTTTGAGTCAGATGCACTTCGTGTCCTATCCAGCCCCACTGGAACCTGTGACTCCGTAGGCGCTCTTCAGCTTCCTGGAAAGCAGCTGTCTGAAAGCCAACTGCCAAGGGAAAGCCCGAGAATTTCCAGCTCTTTCATATCTATATGTATTACATCGTATTGCTGTATTGCATATATAGCATGCATTAGTATACTATCTATATACAGAATTATATATACACCATTATACATCATTGTACATCATTGTACATGTATATACATATGTACAATATATATATATAGTAATTAGAAAGCAGAGGACCAGTTCATGCAACCACCATGCACTCCCCACCCCACCTGACTCTTGCCGGTTCCCATGGCCGGGGTGAGGATCGACCTACACAGGTTGTAAAACCCCACGACCAAGACCTTGGGAGAGAGAGAGGTGTACAAATCATAGTTACCCTCTGGTAAACAACATAAGTCAAATCACAATTGTTGATGGGTAAATCAACTATAAGTGGCCATTTTCAATAGCTATGTTAGTTTACCAGAGGGTACCTCTTAGATATCCCACTTTTCTACATTAATATTGGGCTTGCCACTTCAGGAATTGGAGGGAAATTGTAGGGCGTGTTCATAGCGACATCCTGGAAACCAATCACCAGAATCTGGAGGCATCAGCCTGGAACACTCATCCTTCTAGTGGACTACTTCAATCCAGCCCACCTTCTGGCACAGCATCCTGGATTGGCACCAATGCTGATTCCTGTCACCAGGATAATGATTCGACTGCACAACAGCGTACCAACGCTTGGGATCAATGGTCGACAGGTAGATGTGGAAGATTTAGGAACCCCCAAAAAAACATCCCGGCAAGTTGTTGGGCATACTTCGATTTATTTCCCTTCCTCGCATTGTTGCTGTTTGCTCTGTCCTCAATGTTTCGGGCACCCATCTTGTGCAATTCCATTTCCAGGACTTCAATGATTAAGGCACAATCCACATGGATTTTCCATTCTCCTCCGTTTTCATGTTGCCTTTCCACGATTCCCAAGCGCCTGCACTTCTGCCGGCCAAAGCTCCAGCTCCTCCTCCGGCGGCTCCACGGGTGTTTGCGCTTTCTGCGGCCGCTCGGTCAAGCTGAAGATCTCCCGGAAGGCCTGGAGGGACGCGGATGCTCCAAGGTACCAATCACCTTGATGAAACCAGCCTAAACCAAGCATTTTATGGGGATATCATGGGGATATGCTACAAAATTGGATATCAATGTGGGATAAAAATTTGATTTTCAGGATAAACAGTAGTTGCTTCAAACACCCCTGGCACCTTTGGGGGTAAACTGGTTAAATATGGAGGTAAAATATCCCATTTACCCCCAAAAGTGGCTATCATTTACCTATAATCGGCTGGAACAACGCTCAGAATGGGATAAAATTGGATATAATGGGAAACAAGAATGAGATGGGTTTGTCCAAAATTGGATGGAATACCCCGGTTGAAAAATGATTTGTCCAAACCATGGGATCTGTTTTTTTTTCCTCCAATTCTTTCAGACAGACACGAACTGCTCTCCACCAATTGGCGGGCAAGTAGAACGAACCAACAAGTAATGTTAGTAAGTAAACCATCAGCATAAATGGTTGCTATAAACCACCAAACTACGGGTGGCATACTATTGCTTTACTAACATTAGTTGGTATTATTCAAGATTGCGTACCCGCCCTGGCCCGGCAAACGGCCCAGCCATGCTCAGCCTCAAAGCCTTCGAATCGCAGAGGCGCCATGACCTGCTCTACCCCCGTCAAATTGCTGGAAAATCCACCATTTCTAGATGATGTTGCTATTACGCATGGGGAAGCAAAGGCTACTTTTCTGGGCATCGGTTCAAACCCTGCGGTTTTGGTTGATCAACAATAATCATCAAAAATGGGTTGATCAAAATCCCTGTTTTTTCATCGATCAGAATCCCTGTTTTCATGGTGATTCTCCCCGTTGTCGGTGAAGCCTCCAGCGGCACGATGGTCGCAGCTAAGCACGAGGCGGCTATGTTCGGAGTATGCCCTGAAAAATAAGGCAAGTGACTTGGTATCTCTGGAGTGCAGGTTCCTATTTTGCGTAGAACATGATGAATCTACATGTTTGGGTTTGGAGGGGAATATTATGTGTACACAAGAAATTTGGATTCTTTCTCTTTTGGATTTCCATTGTTCTTTGGATGGGAGTCCCTCAATGACAGAAACCCACCAAGTTTTGGCGTTTTTGGTTGACCTCAGTTGGGCTGATCCACAAAAAACCTCCAGGGTTGGAACTTTGCCGAAAGTTAAGATGGAAATGGACAGTGACATAGAAATGCCATGGTTTTGCCATGTTTGACCACCAAAGTTTCTGGTGTCACTCCCATCATTGGCTCCTTGGATCTTCCAAAAAAAACACCCTTAGGGTAGCGAAGCCATGTGGGTCCTGGCCGTCTTGGCCTGAACCATGTCCAAAAGATCACGAGGCGGCGAGCTGGAAGCGCCCAATAGTTCAATGATTTACCAAACTTCAAAATGGTGAGTTTCCATAGCCATGTAACAAACTACCAGAGGGTATGGCCCTTCTGGATTCTGGACATGAGTTTGTTTGTTGTGGGTTGGATTTCGCCAAATTCCTCCCATTTGACCCCATTTGGTCAACCAAACTTTGTGACACCGATACAAGGTGGGCATTCATCATTCTGACATAGATCCACATGGGGTTAAAGCCCAGCTTTCGGTCATATTTAGAAATCAAATGTCCATAGAAATGGGTGATCTTCGATCTTCACGACCTGTTTGACCCTAAAATCTTCGTTGTTTGCTTAACAGCACCCCAGTGGGTCAGCCACTTCGCAACCTCAGCCAGCCACATTCCAAGTCTTCCTCCAGCTCAACATCGGGCCGATCGCCAAACACCTGGCATCGCTCTGCGGAAACAACTGCCATCTGGTTATTGAACATAGCCATGGAAAATCACCATTTTTTATAGGTAAACCATCTATAAATGGGCCATCTATACCGTGGCTATGTTAAATACCCAGAGGGTAATGTTTTTTTGTTCACTAGAATTTCCAGAGAATAATCAGAATAGACTAGAAGAATTAATCAGCTTTAATTTGTAACGTATCCTTCATTATTGAGAATGGGAATGGGTACCCTGCTCTCCATCCAAATGGGATGGTGGTGGTTTTCAGATGTTGAACCACATTCAATTCTCTTTGAAGAGCAGCACACTTAAGGGTATGACAACAGCCAACTGGACTGTATTCCCCAAAATTTGGCGATCGGTGGTTGTATCAGTGATAGTTATATGCTAGGAAAGTGATGGTAACAGCAATCTGTACAGTAAACCACGTTAAACCTAGCATGCAACCAATGAGAAAAGTCACCATCCGATTGTCTCAAAATGTCTCAAATCACAAGTCTTTCCTATTCTGAAGGAGGGGAGTTGAACCCATCCAACCCCTGAAACTTGCGGTTTTTGGCCTTGGGAATGACCAGGTGTTGTGGCCCCAACCCTTCAGGATGAATTGGATGCTCCAGTGTGGGTCCCGGATCAGCGAAAATGCCTGAATACTTTGGGAATATCCCAAGAGTTCAAGGTAGCTATCCACCCCATTGCCTTACCCGTCTCGATTTGAATTACTAATTCTACGGTCCACTTTTTTCTTCATATGACCAGATCTTGTATTCCAGTAATATATTGACTTTGGTTTCATCAAGCAATCTAAACAGCCCTTGCTATTTCAGGGTCAGCATCCATCTTCAACCCCACCTCCTGCACGAATTTTCGCGCCCAGTTGGTACCACCAAGTTCCGCCTGTCCAAAACCCATCTTGAACGTCCTACTGGCACCAACCGAAGGTGTGTCAAAGCACGATTTTTGCACCTCCTTGTTTTGAGGCGTCGCTATGAAACAGTTCGTGTTTACTTTTTGTACTTTTCCAAGTTGCATCTCGGGTAAGCAACTGCTCATCTTGGGTGCATTATTCCCAGAGTCCATTGTTGCCTTGTCCAACAACTTATGGGACAACCCCAAAGACCTTTAATTTGCATATAAACCTCTGTAAACCTCAATCCTATCCCCAATCATCCTCAATTTTTGTCCATGTAGCATATAAAATCATATAAATACACAAATAATTCCATGTCTTTGCCAATTTTCCCACACCATCCCCCAATTTTTCCATGATCTCTGCATGACATCCCCCATAGATTCCACCCTATCCTTTCGGCCTCGCGACTGGACCAACTGACCACCACCGGAGCACGCGCTACCAAGGCCGGGGACCAGGGGCCCTGAAGCCTTGGGACTGAGCCAGTCATAGCATTGATGGGTTATGGGGGATGATAACAATGGTTTTTGACCATAGTCCCCATAATTCAACCACAAGTCAAAATAGTCCTATGGATCAAAAACCACAATTACTTTAACCATTGATTGATATACTCCTACCTGTGGATTTTTGTTCGGGATTATAACAAGCCATAAAAGATTATACAAGGAAGAGCTACTAAGCAACCAGTGCAGTACTAATGGGACGGGATTGTGGTATGTTTCATGGCTCATGTGGGTGCTTTTTCCGGAGTTCATGGGGATGTGTTGCTGTTTAGTTGGGGGGGCCATCACTCAAATATCGTGGAGATGGCCACTTAGAACCCGAAAATCTGGTGAGTAGTGGTCTTAAATAGTGTTTTTTTCATGGGATCTAATGGGAAAATAATCGAACATCGTCGTATCTGCATGATTGGATGGGGATAAATACCTCTGGTTATATATAGGATTTAATGGAATTTGCTGGGGATATTTGATGGAATACCCGGTGGTAATCGAACATGGCAAGCTCAAAAAACTATATGAACTTGATGTTCATGGGCAGATCACCTAAGTAAATCAGGGGGATTTTCCCGCAAGCCATGTTTCATTATCCCTCGATATGTCACGCCTGGATTCGGGCCTAACTATGAGCTTCTAAATCAAAATGCCTTGCCTCTCAGCAAAAAGATCCAAATGATGAGAAATTACAGGAGTTGCCACAATTATAGAAAGGAATTAGGAGTACAAAGTACGGTAAAATTAAATACTGTACTTTCGGACTCCTCCGGATCCCGATTCTGCGCGGATTCGGATCCTGTTCTATAATTAATTGATTTTTGGCTGTTCTATACTTAATTTGTGCACCTCAACTTCCAAAGAATATGGCCGTATATGATATAGTTCCTCAAATTCCCATTGAAACCACCGGCAACACGCAGATTGTGTGAGTCTTGGAGGTTACTTACATGTATTTACATCATTTTACATCATTTTACATCATTTTACATCATTTTACATCATTTTACATCATTTTATGTATCTTTCTGGGACCCCGGAAGAAAGTACATAGAAACCAGAATTATAGAACGGAATTATTGCAATTTTAATTATAGAACACGCAATTATAGAACAGAATTGGTAAATGTGAGAAATATCGGGGAAACACACAAGTATGGAACACCAGAATTATAGAACAACAAAAAAGTTAGGAGAAAGTTGAGAGTAAGTTTTTTCCCAGCGTTCTAATCAGGAATTATGGAACAACAGGGTACGGTAAACAACCGTACTTTCGTACTCCTGAACTTCCGTTCAATAATTGTGGCAACTCCTTTTTTTAAATCATCATTTGGCTCTTTTTGCTGAAAGACAAGGCATCCCGATTTAGGACCTCATAGTTGGGCCAAGGAATCTAATCACAAAAACGCTCAAACCCACAGGCGCCGCGGCACCTGGGCCGCAGCCGTGCCAAAAAGGTCAGCAGGAACCAGCGACTGCGGATCAAGGCCTTGGACGATCCGACATTTTCTAAGCCTCTCAACTAGAATGAGGATTTATAGTGATTTATAACGAGGATTATAGATTTATCATTATTTATCATTATTCAATTATTAAATTATAGGGTAAATGAGGATAAATGATGCCTATCTTATAATTGAATAGATGAGGATTTCTTGTCGTCTATCATTCTCAAATATTCGAAACAATTTTAGGATATTTTTGAAGCCCGAATTCCATCCAAACATATCCAAACATAGTAAAATGAGCTTGGTCTCCCAGTCAGCTTGTGGTCACCATGCAGCTCCCAAGATCCTCTGGGACATCGACATTGAAGGCCTTTGGACCGCGACCAAAGGCTTTCAAGGCACCTCAACACGGAGAATGCGAAGGGTGACCCAACTCGATGCCCAGTCAAATCGGCCCAAATCTGTTGGTCGTCTTCTACAAAACCACCAAAATCTATGGTTCTGGGGCCCGGGGTCTGAACAAAATTTGACCATTTAACTCCCATGATTGTTCCCTTTCTTGATGAAAGGATATGAAAGGGTTTTCAAGTGCGCCTCGCTGGGCTTGCTTCACTGCCACGTCCACCTGAGACATGCGAGGATTCCGAAAAAGTCATGGTACCCCTCAAATCATCCAAGTCATGGATGACCATTGAAACCTATGGCACCAGCCGGGCTCCCATTTTTAGGAAACCTCCAAGTCTGACCTGACCTGCAATGGACCTGCTGCTGACCAGTCTGTTCGGGTCGAACCCACCCTCTTGTAATTTAAGATGGCGGATAATCCTCACTCTGAAAGGGCAAAAATGGGAGAATCATCTGTTATAAATGAGTGATTTTCCAACAAAATCAGGTAAATACCACGAATTCACCATGAACATCCATTTTTCAGCACCCGTTCAAGGCACCAGAGCATGCATGTGCCAGGAACGCGGGCGGCGCCTCAA